ATTTCATTTCCACTTGATTTGAGTAGACAGATGATTTTTTTTCTCCTGTACTCTACTTTTACTCAGTAGAGGCTTTTAGCTGAGGATTAATGTTCTTTATTATAGGAATCCTCTAGGCTCCCTATATGTGCTCCAAGACTCTAACAGGTCTGCTTCCAGCTGAAGAAGTTGGATGCAGATATGTCTGAAATTGGTTAATGCTACTTTCTGGAAGGGAATCATATGAGAGACTCAAGTAAATCCTTCATCCCCTGGAGCTGAGTATGTTGCTTCCCTGTTATTCCCAGCTCTGCTTGGCCTAGATGATTAGGTACCCAAACCCAGATCCCCTGCTTGGCAGTCTATTTGGATACCATTTACACTACTAGTTGGTTTGTGGATGAACAATGTTTAATAATCTGACCCTCATTTATTTGAGAAAAGCATCTGCGACTTATCCAAGCCCCATAAAAATCAGTAGACTCTCCTGTTGACTGTAAGGGGCTAAGTATTTTTTAAACCCTGCAAATACTATTAAATAAAATAACAAATGTGTTTTTAAATTCAGGGTTTTTAAAAATTAATTTAGCATTTATCTGTGGGTTAGGATAGAATTACCTAGTACTCCAGGCTGCCTACAGATGCTGCCCAAACGCCTGATTTACCCACAGATAGGGCTGTGTGAAATTGTGGACATTTTCACTATTTCTTTTGTATTTCTTTAAATGGGATATTTGTAAAAGATGCATGAGAATGTGAATTTGTAACATTTTTTTACTGCAAAATCACTGAAGCTTGAAAATTTGCTCATTTTCAAGTGAACTTCCACTACTGTTGAGTGGATAATTACCAAATTTTTCACAAAAATTAGGCAATTTTAGATTTTTCTTACCAAAATGAGAACTCACACTTTGAGTATTTTCAATTTCATCCTTAAAATTTTGTTCCAGCTGTTAAAATCATCTGCTGGGCTACATTCTCTGCAACAGAGGAAATGAAAGTTCTATTAATAGGAAGACAGGATATGCTGGGAGTTGCTCCACGCAAGAACTTTGGTTTTTAGAACTGGTGGTTGCATTTTTGATAAAATATATTTTTGTCGAGATATGCTGCTTCATCAAAGCTGAAATGTTTTACAGCTGGGAAGATTTCTGAGGTCCAAGGCTCTTTGGTAATTTCTGACGAGGAAGGGAGAGAAACCCAAATTGAAAAACTGACCTTTTAGATCTGAAAATCGACATTTCAACACATTTCTCAAGATCATTTGAAAAGTTCTATATCAGTTCTTTATTGGAATGAAAAAAAAAGTCAAAACCTCAAAAGTTGTCCCAAAACAGAATTGTCGGTCTCTGGCCAGCTCTACTTATAGTACTTGCCTTACACTGCACAGAAACACTTCTACTCCCAGAGCATGGCATCCCCTCAAGGCCTTAGATTTAGATTCTGTCATCAATTGCACATGTGATCGCTGAACTGACCATTAGAAATTAGCCAATTAATTCCCTGTTGTTAATAATGGTTTGGGAACTAGGTCAGTGAACTATCTGTAAATAACTTTTGGCCAAATATGAAATTACACAACTACTAAGTGTGGTATGTAATCTATCATTATATCACCTTCTGTACCAGATGACTGGAGGATAGCTAATGTGATGCCAATTTTTAAAAAAGGCACCAGAGGAGATCCCGGCAATTACAGACTGGTAAGCCTAACTTCAGTACCAGGCAAATTGGTTGAAACTGTAAAAAAGAACAGAATTATCAGACACATAGATGCATGTGATTTGTTGTAGCAGAGTCAACATAGCTTTTGTAAAGGGAAATCATGCCTCACCAATCTATTAGAATTTTTTGAGTGGGTCAACAAACGTGGACAAGGGTGATCCAGTGGATATAGTGTACTTAGACTTTCAGAAAGCCTTAGACACCAAAGGCTGTTAAGGAAATTATGAGTCATGGGATAAGAGCGGAAGGTCCTTTCATGGATCAGTAACTGGTTAAAAGATAGGAAACAAAGGATAGGAATAAATGGTCAGTTTTCAGAATGGAGAGGTAAATAGAAGTGTCCCCCCAGGGATCTGTATTAGCACCAGTGCTATTCAACATATTCATAAATGATCTGGTAAAAAGGGGGTAAACAGTGAGGTGGCAAAATTTGCAGAATTACTAAAGATAGTTAAGTTCAAAGCAGACTGCAAGGAGTTACAAAGGGATCTCACAAAACTGGGTGATGGGACAACAAAATGGCAGATTAAATTCAATGTTGATGAAAGAAAAATAATGCACATGAGAAAACATAATCCCAACTATACATACAAAATGATGGGGTCTAAATTAGCTGTTACCACTCTAGAAAGAGATCTTGGGGTCATTGTGGATCGTTCTCTGAAAACATCTGCTCAATGTGCAAAGGCAGTCAAAAAGGCTATCAGAACATTCGGAACCATTAGGAAAGGGATAGATAATAAGACAGAAAATATCATAATGCCTCAATACAAATCCTTGGTATGCCCGCATCTTAAATATTGTCTGTAGATCTGGACACCCCATCTCAAAAAAGATATATTAGATTTGGAAAAGTTACAGAGAAGGGAAACAAAAAATGACTGAGGGGTATGGAACAGCTTCTGTATGAGGAGAGATTAAGTAGACTGGGACTTTTCAGCTTGGAAAAATGTTGCCTAAGAGCGGACATGGTAGAGGTCTATAAAATCTTGACTGGTGTGGAGAAAGTGAATAAGAAAATGTTATTTACTCCTTCACACAGCATAATAACTAGGGGTCACTCAATGAAATAAATAGGCAGCAGGTTTGAAACAAACCAAAGGAAGTACTTTTTCACAGAACACACAGTCAACCTGTGGAACTCTTTGCCAGGGGATGTTGTGAAGGCCAAAACTATAACTGGGTTCAAAAAAGAACTAGTTAAGCTCATAGAGGATAGTTCCATCAATGGCTATTAGCCAGGATGATTGGGGATGCAACCCCACGCTCTGAGTGTCCCTAGCCTCTGATTGCCAGAAGCTGGGAGTGGATGATAGGGGATGGATCACTAGATGATCTGTTCATTCCCTCTGAAGCACCTGGCATTGCCCACTATCAGAAGACAGGATAGTGGGGTAGATGGATAATTGATATGACCCAGTATGGCTGTTAGGTTCTTATGAAAATTCTGCTGCCTTTATTTGATAAAAATCCCCATTGAGTTCAGTGGCAGTTTTGCTCAGTAGAGTTAAGCACAATCTTTACCAGTAAGAAGAAAACCAGTATTCTGTTATCTTTTAGCAGTCTGACTGTATTTATTTATTTACAATTCTTCAAGCTTCATTTTACATAAATATACTTGGCTGTTACTTGGGCACTAGTCTGAAAACTAAAGCAAGGAAGCCAGATATGCAGACCTTTCCTTTTTAGGGTAGAGAGAGGAAAGGATTGTCGTGGAGTTAAATGTCAAACAAAATACTGTAAATAAATTTAAAAAAGAGAGTGAGAGACTGGATGAAGCAAACCAAGGTACATAACAGATACAGGATCAAATGCAAAGTTACAGTATTTAAACCCCAAGGATTCAAAAATCATGAGTCAAGCCCCCATAAATCATAAAATCAGCATAAAAATCATGAGATTTTAAAAAAGAATAAATTTGGGGTTGTTTTTTCTTTGCCTTCTGGATTTTGATACCTTAGGTTACACTCAGGACATGTTTTTGAACTTTTATTTGCTACCATGAGGGGTAGAAACACATTTTTAAATTAAAGCTCAAATTCTCAGGTAAACACTTGACTTCAGGAGTTGGGGCTTTAAGGAAAACACCAAATCTGACATGACTTGTATTGCCAGCTCTCAAGATTTTATCACTAATTAGAAGAAAGTAAAATGAGAAAGGGAAAAAGAGGAATTCTAGGGCTGATATAGAGGTCCCATAAAGTCTTAAATGTTACAAAATTGTTCTGTTCTGCTGTTGAGTGTGATGCATTTAGTCAATATGACTTCAGAACAGTATTTTCATGTTTCATAAATATTTTGTATTAGTTTCTTGACGACAGCAGAAAAGAGCATCCTACAGAGAACTGCAGGAATGTTAAACAAAAGGAACCACTTCATCCTTTATGGCTCGTATTGTGCATCTTTGCTAGTTTCTGAGACATATAGCCGTCTATTTGGCAGATTGAATACTAAAGCTATGTTCCATATTTGTATATTGTTTTACTATTTGCTTGAAAATATGTCATGATCACCAGCTAAAAACAAAGCAAACAAAAAGCTTCTCCATGTTTCCCTTATTTTTGAAACTGTAATTCTGGTCAAAGCAGTTTATCATTGTTGGGGTTTGTATCACTTTAAATCAAAATTTCTTTGGTCTGTTGTCTACATGAAAACAAGAGAGAGAGATTGTATATTGGTGGTATGATGGTGCTCAAGATTTACCATAAAGGATCCCAGTTAATCTTTCTATAGAGTCCATTCCTGCAAGCAAGGAAGCACCTTCTGAGAGGTAATGAGCACCCTCAACTCCTAGGAACTAGGCATGAGAGTTGAGGGTGCTGACTCCATCCCCCTGCAGGATTGGACCATTTGTGCTCTAATGCTGTGCTGATGTAAGGCTCCTTGTAAACTGAGAGGTTATATGTAGTTTTCTGAATAGTGTTTTAGTTGATTTTTTTGCTAGAAACTTCTTTAATAAAGGGACATGCTGCGGCTTTAAAGCAGCTCTTGCTGTCTGAGCATCAACAGGCATCTTTGCACTGCTTTAGCCTCTGTTCTCCAATCATGCCTACCTAAGTCAATAAGGCATTGACAGGCTTCCTTGTGTATTAAAGGTTACCTTTTAGCTTGTTTTATGAATCAGAGCAGATGCATAACTTGGCATTGACCATTTCTGTCCCTCCCCTTCTTTGCTTTATACAAACTGCAGCCCCCAGCTCATTGCTGTGTCGAGCCCCCTCCCCCAGCAGGGAGAAGTCATTACATGAAGAGATCAGCTTACCAGTTGTCTTCAGTGCAGTGGCTGAGAGCAAAGCTCCTGGTAGTACAGTGAGTCAGAAGGGGAGAGAGTGGTGCCCAGCAGAACTACAGGGCTGTGATACTGAGACACAAGTGCATCTGCTAGCTGTTAGTACTTGGCAGAGGGATTTCTCCTTTAGGGTAGTTCTAACTTTGGGTAATAATGTTTGTCAGCTACCTGATATTAACATTGCTCTACTTTCAAACAGCAGTGTTAGCAAGACCTGAGGGAGAGGTAAGCCTAGTATAAAGTCTTGTCAAAAATTATCGTCTTGTCAGAATTTAATTTCCTCTTCTATCTATCAACAGGGATCGTGAGTGATTTTATGTTGTGTAAGACTAATGTGCAGTGTTACATTTTAGAATTGCATTGTCTGCTACTGTATGAAAATAGCTGTTTGCAGAATTCTCTAGTTGCTAAAATGAAACTACCTATTGAAAGCCAGCTTGTTTTTAGTTGTCGCACAGAGGACACATCATGTTTTGTGGATTTTTCTCTGCTAATATGTAGAAAAATATAATTCTGTTTACAACAATCTGTAGTGTTGATGATATACAATGTTAAGTTCAAGTTTTCTGCAGGAAAGATGTATGATTGAAAAAAGTTTTTACTTGGTGTTTTTCTTATGTAAAACACTGCAAGTCTCCTTGTATGGTGTATATTTATAACTAGCCTCTGCATTCAATGTGTGTGAATTATTAGAATAATACATAAGAGATAGAAAAACTATCCCTATTTTAGAATATATATGATATCCCTAAAGAGGGATTTTGTGATATTCCTATTAATATGAGAATTCTAAGTGATGGAATGGAACAGTCATTCCTATGCATTTGAAATTGCTGCTTCATTTGCTAAATGCACTTTTCCAGGTTTTTGCTCAGATCAGCCTAGTTCTACATCAAGCCCTTATATTGAAGCAGAAAATTTAAAATCGTCATTTTCCATTTAGGAAAGAATTCAGCAAACATAATTATATAGATATGAAATATCCTTATTAATGAAGTCACTGGCAAAAACATACCCACTCCTTGATGCATTTGATACTCTTCTCTCCCCACTCCCTAACTAAAATGTGATGCATATTTATGCATTTTAAAAGAACAAATGGATATGCTATTCTTCAATAAGCCTTTTTTCTTTAAGTATGTCAACAGTATGCATAAGAGCTAAGTGAAAACTAAATCTTCTGAAGGATGGTGCTTCTGCTTTAAAGCTCTGACTTTTGTTGTTGTTGTCAGAAGATTCTAATAGCCTTATAAAGCCAGACCAATTACTTTCCCTGGTAAAAGAAAGTGGAGGTGAACTGAAAACACATCTAAGTCAAAAGCTGCTGGGTTGGCACTGGTTATTAGCTCATAGTTCTAGACAGAGAGTGCATTTTGCTTTCAGAGTGGTTTAAAAAAGGAATGGTAATATTTGTGATTCCAGAAACAAGGTCTATTTTAATGAAATCGTGTGTTGGGAAATGCAGTCTTTGATCTAACTAAAAAAGTGGGGAAAAGTTTTCATCAGAGGCTCAGGGAATTTAAAAGGGTGGACGTTCAGCGCGACTAGAAGCTAATCATTGCCCTCTAGTTGTCACTGAGGTTTTAACTTTCCTGTTGATTGTCACTGAGTAAAGAAAATGATAGATGGACTCACCTTACCCAGGCGTAGGGACTTTGAAATGTGTGGTGGCTCATATGGAAAATATTTCTGTTACACTGCATGCACATGTGTTCTTCAGAGATCCATATAAACAGTAAATCTACTGCAGCAGCAGTGTTGCCTGCCAATTATCCTTGTTAGTGAGTAAAATAAAAGCAATGCTGTGTTCTTACCTGGAAATGAATTGCTGCAGTAGAAGTGCAATGTGGAATGTTTTAGAACTGTAATCCTTATGCCATATACTTAACACTACTGTACTGTTAACTTGAGTTTTTCAGCTAATACTGCAGACTAAATATGAAAAGGGGATTGGAGCTGTATCATTGATCATATGCTTTACTACAGTAATGAGAAGTCTGCTTTTTAAATCTAATTATATGTCTAATCATGAAAGCCATATAATAACTAAAATACACAATGTCTGATAGCAATGGAGTAGTTCCTTTGTCTGTGAGTCGCCAGAGACCAATGGATAATCATGTGCATTTTTCTGCTGCAGCTGCAGAATCTTGGCTACATAAATATTATCTCTCTAGGAAATTTATTCAATTAGGATTTTTCCCTTGCTGGATAGACAAGGAAATAAAAAGAGGGAAAATAAGTGAGCAGCCATTTTAAAAAGTAGCCTGTATTATAGTTTGCTGATTTAAAGTGTTGCATTTACTTCTATGAATGTTTGTATTGCTTTATAGTTAAGGCCCTACCAAATTCAGGGTCCATTTTGGTTAATTTCACAGCCATAGGATTTTAAAAATCTGAAATTTCATGATTTCAGCAATTTAAATCTGAAATTTCTCTGTGTTGTAATTGAAGGGGTCCTGACCTAAAAGGAGTTGCGGGGGGAAGGGGTGTCACAAGGTTATTGTATGTGGTGGGTGTTGCGGTACTGCTACCCTTACTTCTGCACTGCTGCTGGCGGCAGCGCTGCCTTCAGAGCTGGGCAGCTGGAGAGTAGCAGCTGCTGGCCGGGAGCCCAGCTCTGAAGGCAGAGTACCGCCAGCACCAGCGCAGAAGTAAGGATGGTATGATATGGTATTGCCATCCCTACTTCTGCACTGCAGACTACAGAGCTGGGTCCTCAGTCAGCAACTACCACTCTCTGGCCACCCAGCTCTGAAGGCAGCAGCGCAGAAGCAAGTGTGACATGGTATGGTATTGATACCCTTACTTCTGCACTGCTGCTGGAGGGGTGCTGCTTTCAGAGCTGGGCGCCCGGCCAACAGCTGCTGCTCTCCGGCCACCCAGCTCTAAAGGCAGTGCAGAAGTAAGGGTGGCAATACCCCAACCCCCCTAAAATAATCTTCTGACCTTTTGGGTCAGGACCCTCAATTTGAGAAACATTGGTCTCCCCCATGAAATCTGTGTAGTATAGTATAAAAGCACACAAAAGACTAAATTTCATGGGGGGGGAGGCCAGATTTCACGGTCCGTGATGTGTTTTTCATGGCTGTGAATTTGTTAAGGTCCTATTTATAGTTGTGTGTGTGTGTGTGTGTGTGTGTGTGTGTGTGTGTGTGTGTATGTATTTGTTAAAGGTCTGCTCATAAAAACATCAGCTTGTGATGGTCTTTTTCTTGATGGCTTGTTCTTTCCTGCATTGTAATACATGCTCTTTGGATATTCAAGAAACATTTGAGAAAATCGTGAAAATCCAACTGTTACAATTTCCTCCTTTGTGAATCTTAAAGAATTCCTGATTGTATCGGTCTGGTTATTTCATGCTTGTTTTTAGTCATTGGGTTAGTGAATGACTCAACATGATGTCACTTAAACTGCATTGCACCACTTTTCCTGTCTTTTTAGGTGATATTTTAGTATCAAGATTTTTTTTTTTTTTTATCCAGTAGGGGAATGTGGCAATGTAACCTTGCAACTTGCTCATTGCTCACACTAGCCCAGTATGAGAACCCTTTTTGATACTGTTTGCGAGGAAATTGAAACTCTCTTCACCCATAGCTGGATGCTCAAAATGTTACCTTCTTCCTGACTCAGTCTCTCTGCAGGTCAGAGTACAGATTCCTTCTCTACTGGGTGTCCAGGAGCAGTTGTCCCCACCAACAGACTGTACAATTGGTTCCTGTGACTAAGAAAGAAGTAAAGTTTCTTTGGCATTGGATAGAAAATAATGAGAAAACCACAAAAAAGTGAAGCAGACTACCAGCTATCTGAATTTAACACTGCAGAAAGTGCAGCGCTCCGCTCTTATTTTTAAAATGATGATTAAGCAGGATTTTTTTTGAAATGCTGTACTTTTGCAAGTCCAGTGTCATAGCACCCAACGTGACCATTCACTGAGTTCCATCCTGTCACTGAAACTTTCCTCCAGGGCCAGTGTGTCAGGGCTTAGCAAGGTAGGTTGTCCTGGGAATTCTCCATGTGCAATTGGAGAGTCTCTCCTTTAGTAGTTCTGAGGGACTTTGTATACCCATATGTTAAGCCTTCATTAGCATCTCTACATTACCTCATTCCTTGGTTCAGACATCAGCACACGATTACATCATATTTGATTAAAATCATCCTTTCTATTTCAAAGTACTCAGACTTTTAAATGTCCCCTTTGCAGTTTGCAAGGTGCACATTTGAAGGGACTTATTTGAACTTCTATAAGGGTTAAATCTCTTCAGCTGAATACTCAAACCATGCCTCCTCTTCCATTGTGGCAGTTGCTTTTAGCATGGAACGGGCAAATTGTGCCACCTTACACTGAGACATACCCTACTCCCGGAATAGTCCTGTTTATTTCTGTAGGTGTCAGTGGAGCTATGCTGACTTGCACCAGCCGAGGATCTGACCCTAAGGGAGTCAAGCTTTAAGTAGTGAAATATAAGAGCAGATTTCATACAGAAAATGAATATCTCAGAGGGTGACAGACATTAGGTTGTTCTTGGCATTTTAATCCTGACTTGTACTGAGTCTTATTTTTCAGATTTATTAGAAATTTGATAGAATTGCTCGCCCATTAAAAATCTCTGTGGTCTTCAACCTGGTTGTCTTTAATACGTTGTAATTTAATCCCTACACCCTTGTCCCACAATGAGTTCCATGTTAAAGATTCCTGCACTTGAATGGAGCACCTGTGAGGTTAGTGGAGCTTGACCTGGCATAGGGGTGCACCCAAATGGGTTCCCTAGCAGGATGGAGCCCTAAGGGTATGTCTACACAGCAGCTAGACACCCTCAGCTGGTCCATGCCAGCCCGCTCGGGTTGTGGGGCTGCTTCATTTCTGTGTAGACTGCCGGACTTGGGTGGGAGCTCAGGCTGTAGGACCCTGCGGGATGGAAATATCCCAGAGCTCAGGCTCCACATTGAGCCCAGGTGTCTACACAGCAATGAAACAGCGCTGTGAGCCTGAATCAGCTGGCATGCACCAGCCGCGGGTTTTTCTTTGCTTGTAGACATACTCTATGTTGCTCATGACCACTGACTTCAGAAAATAAAATGTATGTGGAAATGCAAAAATCTTTACAAAGAAATTCACCCAGCCTGGGCTCCTTAGGAAATTCTTATCCAAACCCATGTGATACTAACCCAAGGTCAAATAGTAAAATATCTGGATTTTTGGTTAGTATTGGTTGCAATTAGCA